TAAGGAGATTGATGTCACCATTGCTACTCTCGAACAAATCGCTGAACATACTACTCATGAGAGGGATGTGACAAAGGTGTTGTGTCTAATGATTGTTACCATGACTGTTGAGCTACAGAAGTCCTATGAGGACTACTATCATTTTGAAATGTATCAAGATTTGATGGAAAGATACCATCAAAGTGCTCAGCAGGAGAGGTATGAGATCATTGACTCCATGATCACAACCAAGATGAAGGATGGAGAGTCCATCACGACCCACTTGCAGAAGATACAAAGATATGTGGAACGCTTGCATAAATTGAATGTTAATTTTGATGAAGAGTTGGCCATATATATTATTCTACACTCTTTACCTTCTTGTTATGATCAGTTTCGTATGACCTATCATATGAAAAAGGAGGAGGTCACTCTTAGCAAGCTTTAAGTCCTTCTAAGAACTACAAAAAGCAACTTGAAAGGCAAATCAGTTGTGTCTACTCCTACAACTACTACTTATGCCCCTGTTCTGACAATCAGACATGGGAAGGGAAAGAAGAGGAAGGCTCCTTACAAGAGCTGCAATGGAATGTCTCTTGATCGATCCTCTTCAAGTGGGACCAAAGTTGGTTCTGCTAACCGCTCTTCCAATCTGAAGGATGCAGAGTTCTTCCACTATCATGAAAAAGGGCACTTGAAACGAAGCTGCCCCAAGTACTTGTAGGGCATAAAGGATGGCAAGATCAAGCCCTCCTTTGCAGGTATTTACACTTCTCAATGTAATAACTCATCACATGCTAAATGTTGGGTCCTTGATATAGGTTGTGGATTTCACATTTGTTCTAATTTGCAGGGACTAAAAAGAAGTAGGGATATGGAGCATGGGAAGATAAACTTAATAATGGGAAATAGGAAAGTGTCACTTGTGACCAAGATTGGAGTTTATCTTTATTGCTTAGTAATGGTTTAAATTTAGATTTGAATAATTGTTGTTACTCAGCCGATATGGTGAGAAATATTATTTCCTTTAACAGTTTGTATAAACAAGATTTTACCTTTTCTTTTAATAATGAAATTGGTGGTATTAATGTTTATTACAATGATGTATTTTATTTTGAAGCATTACCTTGCAATGGTATATATGAAACCGTGATAGTTGTAGATAACTTTTTAAATAATGTGTTGAATATTGATTCTTTCAATGATTTGGATAAGGCATGCTTGTGGCATTGTCGTCTTGGACATTTCAACAAGAAGTGCATAACCCAACTTCAAAAGGATGGAGTCTTGGAGTCATTCGACTTGAAGTCAGATGACACTTACAAATCTTGTTTAATTAGAAAGATGAGTAAGTTACCCTTCACCGGTACTTGTGAAAGGGGTGAAGGTCTGCTGGATCTCATACACACTGATGTGTGTGAACAATTTAGAACCACCACAAGGGATGCTAACCGCTTCTATGTGACTTTCACTGATGATTACATCAGATATGGCTATATCTACTTAATAAAGCATAAGTCAGAAACCTTTGAAAAGTTTAAAGAGTTTAAGCAAGAAGTGGAAAATCAATTGGGTAGGAAGATAAAGATGTTGCGATCCGATCGAGGAGGAGAGTATATTAGTATCAAGTTCCTAGACTATCTTAAGGAATGTGGAATTGTTTCACATTTGACGCCACCTAGGACATCGCAGCTTAATGATGTGGCTGAAAGGTGCAATAAAACCTTGCTAGACATGGTTCATTCCATGATGAGTCGAGCTTCATTACCTACCTCATTATGGGGGCATGCCTTAGAGACTACCAACCATATCCTTAATCTAGTCCCTACCAAAAAGTTTTCCAAAACACCTCACGAAATGTGGGCAGGGAAGGTTCCCTCGTTAGACCACATCAAAGTTTAGGGTTGCGAGTCTTGCGTGAGACACGAGACTTGAGGCAAACTCGAACCTTAGAGTAAGCGATGTATTTTCATTAGCTACCCACAAAAGTCCTTTGTATATCTCTTCTATATTCCGAGTGACAATGTTTTCTTCGTCACGAGGAGAGGAGTCTTTCTTTGTGAGGGAACTCATATTCCAAGGGGACAGTGGAAGGCAAATTGACCTTGAAGAGCTTTAAGAGTCTCACAAAGGGAAAGCAAAGGGAAAAAACCTAGGCCCCAAGGTAGGAACTTTCAAGAAGAAGTTCAAGTGCTACAACTATAGCCAACCGAGTCACAAGGCTTCGGAGTAGCCTCAACCTAAGAGGGAAAATCGTCAAGCAAACATGGTGAATGATAACATGGAGTTGGTGGCCATGATAACTGATCTCATGGCTATGGTTTCTGAAGTGAATCTCATGAATACAAATTCAAAGGAGTGGTGGATTGACACGGGAGCTACTCATCATGTGTGTCATGACAAAAGTGTTTTCAACACCTACAAAGAAGTTAAAGATGGTGAAAATCTCCACATGGGAAAAGCAGCTCCGGCAGATATCAAATATGTTGGCGATGTCATTCTAAAAATGACTTCGGGGAAAGAAGTGAAGGTTAGGGATGTTTTGTATGTTCCTGAACTTTGTAAGAATCTAGTGCCGGGTGGTTTGTTGAACTAATTTGGATTTAAGCTAGTGTTTGAGTCAGACAAATTTGTTTTGTCCAAAAATGGTATGTTCATGGGAAAAGGATATGTCTTGAATGGCATGTTCAAATTGAATGTGATGGTGACAAACAAAATGAATAATGAAAGTTCTAGTTCTGCTTATTTGCTTGAGTGTTCAAATGTTTGGCATGGTCGCTTAGGACATGTAAATTACAATTCAATTAAGTGATTAATTAAACTAGAATACATACCAAAACTTAATATTGACTCAAATCACAAATGCCCCACATGTGTTGAAGCCAAACAAACTAGATTGTCTTTCCAAACAATCAAAATAAACACCGAACTTCTTGATTTAATTCACACTGATGTGTGTGATCTAAAGTCAATTCCTACTCAAGGTGGGAATAAATACTTCATTACATTCATCTATGATAGCACGAAATATTGCTACATATATTTACTTAAGAGTAAAGATGATGTAATAGACAAATTTGTCTTGTTCAAAAATGAAGTTGAGAATCAACTCAACAAGAGAATTAAAGTGGTTAGAAGTGATAGGGGTGGGGAATATGTTTCTCCCTATGCTGATTTTTGTGCTAAAAATGGAATTTGTCATGAATTCACATCACCCTATTCACCTCAATCCAATGGAATTGCTGAAAGAAAGAACCGTACCTTGAAAGAAATGGTCATTGCCATGATAATTAGTTCGGGTGTAAACTAGTCAATGTAGGGGGAAGCTATTTTGTCGGCTAACTATCTTTTAAATAAGATACCTTGCAAACAAAAGAATGAAACACCGTATGAACTTTGGATGGGAAGAAAGCCATCGTATAAGTACTTACGAGTGTGGGGGTGCCTAGCTAAAGTTGTATTGATGAGAATAAATATCTACATCGTTTAGATCCTTCACAGGTATATTGATAAATAACAAACAATTCAATCACAATATGATTAAGAACACAATATGGAATCAAAATTATGCTTATGATTCAAATATAGTCACGCCTCAGCAGAGCTCGATAAAGAACTTCCACTGTAGAGGTGAGCTAGGGTTTACAATACTGTTATAAGAGAATAATTTCAGTGTTACTTACAAAGGATGCATACATGCACCTTAAATGCTAA